ATATATATATATATATACAGCTGTAGACACACGCTCCATGTTATCATTGCCACACTATTACCATTTTTCTTGTTTCTGAAGGAGGGAACCCTCCTCTCCATAAATTCGTGCCTCGCGGCACAGACCGACAGCTTTCCCGCCGTGGAAGGCTGGAAGGAGCGGCAGCGGTCTCTCTCGCAGCGGTAGGGGCTACTCCACATATGAGGCCAGGGGCCGAGTGCACGCAGTTCCCAAGCCTCCAAACAGAAACAGACTCTGTCCTGCTGCCTGCTCCAGGGACCCCCTCCCCGGCTTCCTGTGGTTAAGCACGCTTAGAGCAAGGCACAGAACCCCCCTTCCAGACACAGGTCGGCAGACCCCACCTCCCTGTGGCTTTCTGCTCATCGACACCTGACCCTGCCGGGTACGGTGCAAACCGCCACGCAGACACGCAGCCCCGTTCCGGAACCCCCAGGAGGGAGACCGCCGAGGTCCCAGCACAGCCTCCAACCCGACTCCACCCGAGAGCCCTAACCTTTACGGTGATGGTGATGCCTGCCAGGGCCTCAATGGATAAAGCGCGCCCTGTGATCACCATACTGGCAACCTGGGTCTATTCTTACATGGTTAAAACTGAAGGTAATGACCGTGTGACTAACACGGTGAACTTTCAGTATTTTCAAAACTGCGTTTTTGTTTTTTTGTTTTCTCTTGCCTGATACAGGACCGATTTTTGTATATTCTTCAGGGACACTTAAATTCTGACTTTAGTTATTATACGATTCACATGGTTTATGTTTCTCTGGACCTGTTAACAGTCTGTGATATAAAATCTTCCCGAAGCCATACACATTTCTACTTCTACTTCGTTTTTGTCTCATGCACTCTGTTGTTGTGATCACTGACAGAGAATGAACCTCTTCAACTACTGAAAACTGTCCATTATCCACATAAAAAGGATGCTTATGCCACGATACATTTGTTATAAATTCTGCGTTGTTCATCAAAACTGCTGAACTTTCTTTCTGCTCACGTTTGATGGACATATTGAGCCAAAGCTTTGGTATTTATCCTCTGTCAACTATGCTATTTATCTATTTTGTGTAGCAAACCTTTGGATTTTTTTTTTTAATTTTTTTTTTTTCAACATTTATTTATTTTTGGGACAGAGAGAGACAGAGCATGAACGGGGGAGGGGCAGAGAGAGAGGGAGACACAGAATCAGAAACAGGCTCCAGGCTCTGAGCCATCAGCCCAGAGCCTGACGCGGGGCTCGAACTCCCGGACCGCGAGATCGTGACCTGGCTGAAGTCGGACGCTTAACCAACTGCGCCACCCAGGCGCCCCTGGATTTTTTTTTTAATGGAATCTCCTTTTT